AAAAGAATACCCGTCAATATAAAAAATTTATTCCTATTCCTAATGTCTTATGTATCATTAAAATGGAGAACAATGAATTATTGGAATTATTGCGTCTGATTACCCCGGTTAGAAAACAGATTTAGGTACTCAATTTTTGGACACAAATAAACAGAAAATTCTATTTTGTATTACCTTAAATTATAACTACAATAATTTCATTATAAATTCAAAAGCGATTTTAACAAATTAAAGTCATAATTCACTTGTATTTGCATTATTTGGCATTTGCTCCTATTAACTCCCATGTATTTGACGCGATAAAAGGGTGAGTCTGAGCAATCCTTCTTTACGTCTACCATCCTTGGCTGAGACAAACCCTGGTCTTCTATGGTTTTATAGAAGACACCATGCATGGGCATGTCACAGTACTTGCGCAATAAACTGCGCACCTCGGCTTCCCTTACGGTGGGCCTGGAAACGAGTATCCTCCCACTCTGTGAAAGAGTTTTCAGACACTCGTTCCTCATCGAAGACAAGACCGAGTTCATCCGCTGTCCTTCGTGCTGCTCTAAACAAAAATGCTCCCACCTCCCCTCTTTCGTGTTCGCATACCATGCGAAGAAGGGGATCCGAGCTCTTGATGATCTTACAGGCTGTACTGTGTCGTGCAGACACCGCAAACTCAAGAGTCCACGGCCCCCCTGATTACGTGGGAGATATAACCGTGGAAGGGATGATTTTGGGTGATGACTCCTTTGAAGAGTCATCATTTTGCGGGTCCCTTGAAACATTTCTATCATTTGAAAACTACTACTACTAATTCCTATAGCAGCCATAATTCTCTCTCTAAAAAGTTTCATAGGTATTAAGGCCTCAGTCCAGCGCCCAAAATGTTCAGCTTCTTTCTTCATTTGCCACAATTTCACGAGCTTGGCTGTGCAAAATTACACCTTGTTTGTCGAAAGTTGAAGGTGTAGCAGGTGTACAAGAAGTAGAAGCCTCCTCATCACTCATTTTACAACAAACCTAACGTTTGCGTTAGTGCCACCTGCCGGATTATACGCGAAATAGATCATAGTAATTTTTTTTAGTTGGGTATCCATAATTATTTTTGTTTTATTACATTTTGTCATTTAATAAGGTATATTTCACGATTCTAAATAATTTTTATCCCGATGAATTTATTATATCTTCAACCGTATAATTTTGCGGCCGCTTTACGGCCGATTTTTTGTGTTTGCGGCCGACGGTGCGACCGATTTTTACCAAATGTTTCGTGCTGCGTCCCCTTCCTACTTACATACCAAATTTCAAGTTTCTAGCTCTTATCGTTCTCGAGATATGCTGTTTACAGACAGACACACACACGACCCAATGGCCCAAACCAACTTTTTTGGTGTCTAGCTATAATTCGTCCAGAAATGTAAAAATATAGGTAGGTCAAATTTCAGGTCAAATTATAGGATAAGGAAAGTAAAAATGGAGGACGAATTCAGATTAAAGACAAGGCGATGAAAGGTTCGAGTTTTTAATGAAAAAAGTCTCCTCTATTTGCGTCGTGTTGCATACAAGATTTTTGCACTAAGTTGATTTCAAAACCATATAGTAGATTCTTTGTGAACATTATAGTCAGTTTTGAGATGTTTTTTTTTAGGATAACAGGAAAAACACTTCGCAAAATGGACCTTTAAAGGTCAAGTGCGCTAAACTCGCTGTGATAACTTTTTAGAGGACTAAAGAAGAAGTATAATCAAACCGTTTAAGTCAAACGCAAAATCTTAATGTTTTTAACACTTTTTGAGCCATTTAAAAATGGCATAATTATWTATTTTCAAATATACATTTCATTAAATTAGCTTTTACTCAGCTTTTGAAAATATCACAATTTGATAATCATTTTATGAAAATATCATGCAGATTTGTTATAAATACAAAAATTAGTCATTTTCAAATACCTAAACCAGTGAAAAWTTTGAAGTACCGTACCAAGTATTAAAACTGAGGACACTTATACTCTTGCTTGTTGTGTTCTATACATCAAAAGTCTTCTTACTAAAAAATGAGTAGAGAAGTGGAGCAATTATTTACATTCGAAAAAAATTTGGTAAATCAATTTTCTAAAAAAATATATATTAAAAAGCCTACTGAAACGTAAAAAAATCTGGTGTGAACATCATACGTCTTTCCTTATCCCACTTATCTGGAATTCTTACGACAATAATTTAGTGTTGCAAATCCGAGTAGCAAAAATCATAAAATATACCTTATTAAATAGTAAAATGTGATAAAATAATAATAATGGGTACCGATGGAAAAAATAAAACTGCACCCCAGACTCAACCCGCGACAACTATGATCTCGCGTGTAATCCGGCAGGTGGCACTAACGCAAAGGTTACACTAAATTATTGTCGTTATTAGGATGTTTTCCAAATAAGTTGAATAAGGAAAGTCGTGTGATGTTCACACCAGATTTTTTATTATTACTTTGATTTAGTGACGTTTTTATTTAGCTGTCAGCATAAAAACTATAAAATTTTAAAAAAGTTGCATATAAAGTCAGTTTTAATTTTATGTCAACCGAATGTCAAATTGTCCAAACTTCCGTGTCCATACATTTAACTATCAAATTTAAAACGCGCACTATAAAATTCATATTCTTTGGACATTTAGGATTTTTTTTAGCTAGGTTTTTTTGGTTTAAAAGTGTCCTTGTTTTTCCATTTATTGCCATTGACACCACATTTATGGGTATGGGACTATGGGTACTACTGACCGTAGAGAAATACGAAGTTTTCATTTATAGTAGTTGGAAAATGATCGGAGAATTACATAAGCGAACAAGAAATATCATTCAGGTTGAATATGAACAGGAGTTAAAAGAGTTAAAAGATTGTGATAGGCCGAATCATTTTTTTATGAAGAACAACAATAAATTAAAAACAAAAACGATCTGTCCAATGATTTTTTTTTTCGCTTTGTCCCGCTATTTGTTTTAGACTTCTGGCGAGCATTTGTTTAAAAATAATAAATTTTTTATTATGAAAAATGGTTATTTTAGGTACTCAATACCCAAAATACAGTTTTTACGGACGGATAAGACATTTTAGTTGCTATGGTGGCGAAATTTGTTTAATTAATAATAGGTGTAAATTTGTTGTATAATTAATTATTTTGTCTGATCATTGTTGCTATTTATTAAAACTCTCATAGATAAAAAATAATCTTAGATCCCTATAAGGCACACATTTTTTCGAACGTCAAACGTTTCTGCTTTTAGTTCTCTAATAATAATAACTGAAAATTATTATGCTAATTACAAGATAACGATGACCGTAATCCATCCTTTGCTTGGGTTGGGACAAGGGCTGGTACAGATCCTCGATCCTCGACAGAAGCGGCACTGGCAACGCCTCTAATGGTAAAAACAATGAACTAGGAGTCATATTTGGGCAAAATATATTTATTAATAATTTAAAGATAACAGTGTTTTATTACATGTTGTTTTTAAAATTTGTTAAGAATTAATATTTTGTAATAAAAACCAAAACCCTAAAACGAATCTTTAGGTCTACCGTTAAATATCGTGACTTTTTCATCAATAACAATACACAAAAAAATGCCAACGCATCGGCCTATAGAAGATTCTTTTAAATTATCTTACAAAAACCAAAATGGATTACTTGAAAAATGACTGAGTAAAATTGTTGTTTTCAAGTTCAGCACTTATGCATTTTTGTTCTATTTTCAAAGGTATTACATTTTTTTTAATCTCAACGTATCGGCCAGTAGATTTAAAAAACCTCTACTTTGATGTATAATACTTGAAATTCTGTTGTATATTAAGAGAGTAATCTTGTTTTCAATATTTACTCGAATCGTTGGTCGCGGACACCCTTCAGATTTCCCCATAGGTATAGTCGTCACCAGGAATATTTGAGATTGACGTATGCAAAGCTTTATTGAGGGTTAAGCAGCTTTGTGGTCGACCGTAATAATTTTTCACTGCGTGTGGTACTACCCAGAAGAAAGAAGAAAAGAGCCGTATTCAGGAATTTTTGTGGTGGGCTTTTAATTTATTACAGGCAAACATTTGGGAATTAATATATTAATTTAATATTAAAGTGATAATGCAGATTTGTAAAGAAACAATCTCAAAATATAACTGAATATTAAAATTAATTTAATTTTTTTTTATGAAAGCCCAAAAACAAATTTCTGTTACGGACCATCTCTTCCTACAAACCTTTGAAACGTGCCTGTCCTAAGAAATGCAAATTTGTTTATGGCATCTCTACCGCAAGCCCCATGAACCACCGTTGGGGGTAAGCGGCTTATTCTATAATGAGTCTCAAATATTGTTGGTGACGACTATATACGAAAATAAGATCTTAATCAACTTTCTCTGTATCCAATTCAATTTATCTATTATTTTGCAAAAGTGAATGAAGATTCTATCTAATCTCTCTATTTCACAAAGATCAAAACGCAAAATAAATAAACAAAAGTGAGTCGTACTGAGATTGCTTACCTTGAAATGTGGAGTTGATATAGCAACAACATAATAACAAAAATTGTAAAAAAAACTCACCAAAAAATAAATATAAAAAAATTGATTCTATCTGTGTTAGCAAACATTAAACAAAAATGTGGTCAAGAGATTTTTTTGTTAAATTATTACTATACTATATTACTATATGCATTCTTAAAAAAATCTCATAATAGTCAATACAAATATATTTCTACTTGTATTAAATTAAAAATAGTACCTAGTGTGGTACAGTTAATGTTACGACATTTCCTGTTCCATTTTGAATTGTAGCCCAACAAATTTATTTTTGTATGTTGTAATTATTTAGAAAACAATACAGTTTATTAATAAAAAAATGTTGATGTGGAAATAATATCAACCACTAAGTCTTATCTAAAAAAATGTCATGCAACTCTTGAAAATTTATCAATATCAAATCAACGCACAAACCCCACTCTGATTAATTTTAACAATATAAAAGTCGTAGTCTTTACGACCAAAGTGAAAAAACAGCAACCAAGATGAAAGTATTCATAATTCTGGCTCTTGCCATTTATGGCACCTCCGCTTCATTTTCCAATGAATTTGTTGAAGAAAAATGGGAAAACTTCAAAGTAAGTACCAAACAATTTTTTTCAAACCTTTACATGTTTGCTTTATAGAAAACCCATGAAAGATCTTACGTCAACGTCAAGGAAGAAGCTTTCCGCAAACAGATTTTCCAGAAAAAACTAGAACGCATTGAAGAACACAATGAAAGATTCAATAAAGGCTTGGAAACCTACACCATGGGTATTAATATGTTCGCCGACATGACTCCCGAAGAAATGAGACCATACACCCACGGTCTGATCGAACCTGCAGTAATGCCTAAACCTCTCATTGAAATCAAATCTCGAGCTGATCTCGGTTTGAATGACAGTGTCCAATTCCCAGCTAGTTTCGACTGGAGGGATAAAGGAATGGTCAGCGATGTGAAAAACCAAGGAGGTTGTGGATCCTGCTGGGCTTTCTCCAGTGTGAGTTAATTCCTTCTTCTATCTTACATATTAGCCTTTCAGCAGCAATTGAAAGAAAAACCGTGAACACTTTTGTGTTTAAGGAAATGAAATGTGTTGGAAAAAGCACTTTTAATTTATTTTTCTAATTGTAAAACATGTATGTAATTATTTTTAGAACATTTGATTTGAATTTATTTTACAGACTGGCGCTATCGAATCGCAAGTCAAGATCGCTAAAGGCGCCAACACCGACATCTCCGTCAGTGAGCAACAACTCGTGGACTGCGACACCGCCGCCGACGGCTGTTCGGGAGGCTGGATGACTGACGCCTTCACCTATGTGGAGCAAACCGGAGGAATCGACTCTGAAGCTTCTTATCCTTACCACGGCGTCAATGAAAAATGTCACTTCATGTCCGACAAAGTCGCCGCTAAACTTAAAGGTTATGCTTATCTGACCGGTCCGGATGAGAATATATTGGCCGACATGGTCTCGAGTAAAGGTCCAATTAGTGTTGCTTTCGATGCTGAAGGAGATTTCGGTTCTTACAGCGGTGGAGTTTATTACAATCCCAACTGCGCTACAAATAAATTTACCCATGCTGTACTCATCGTCGGATATGGTAATGAGAATGGGCAAGATTACTGGTTGGTGAAAAATTCGTGGGGTGGTAGTTGGGGCGACCATGGATATTTCAAAATTGCTCGTAATCGTGATAACCACTGTGGTATTGCCAGCAAAGCAAGCTACCCACTCTTGAGTTAAAGTTTATAAATATAAAACAAGGTGATACAATAATTTAAAAAAATGAAAAAAAAACAATATTTGTTTGAATTTGTATTTTAATATGATATATGTTTTGAGAAAAATATAAACAATTTCTCCTAAATAAAAACTAAAAAAAGGTCTGAGCCTTTTTATTACTCAACATCCGCTTAAAAAATAATTTAAACCCTCAAAAAATTCTAAAAATTAGAAAAATGGCAACAACTTGAAAAAGTTTATAAAACCCTTAAAAAACATTTAGAACAAAATGACATACAGGTTTATTCCAAAATGTTATACCACCAAATACCAAAGTCAAATTCGTAAAAAAAGGTACATATTTTGAGTATAATAAAGAATAGCTCATTAAACTAAGCCTCAATTTCTTTCTTGCGTGAATAATATGTAGCACGTAACATTTTCATGAAACCGGTGTCATGAGGATCCTTTTAAAAAAGCATGTCGTGATTGTACTGATAAAATTAAACAACTTAATTTAACTTAAATAATTTATTGCTACATAAAAATACAAGTACCATGTTAAAAACTACATAACATACTCATTTTGTAATATCTGTAATGTTAATATTGTGCACCTTTATCTTCGGGATAAAGAAAATAAATTTTAACATTTCCTTTTGACGTAACTACGCTCTCGTGATGCTTGATTAAAAATATAGCTGCAATACCGTATGCCAGACAAGGAATGCCTAAAATTTCAAAAACAACCAATCATGTTTTGAATTTGTTTCTAGCTAATACCTAGGTTACCGTAAAAGCCTCGGAATGTAAAATACAAAATTTAACAACAATTAATTACCTTAGTACTCTTACTGACAATTCTAGGGCGGCTAAAAAAGACTACAGTATTTCATATAGGAAAAAAAAGAAAATGTTTTTACAGTAAAATTCATCATTACCCAATTTTTTCATAAACAAAACCTTTTGAGATCCCCAGCACAAAATATCAAGAATCTCTAGGTTCCAGTTACTTGTAATAAAGCATAACAGAGCAGTTTAATTTGAAATTATGTAACTGTTTCTTTAAAAAAAAGATAAAGTTGTTCGAAAGTGTAACTGAAAACGATTTGAATAATTTATGATAAAAATGAAAAAAAAATATAGAATAATGTAAACAAAATTTTATTTATTTTGTAGTCAATGTTAAAGAGTGCTTTTATCAACTAATTTCAGTAGAGAAAGTATTCTTTTGTCGTTTAGTGAGATAAAGTAATTTTTATCTACTGTTTATATTCAAGAAATTCTTTTAAGAGAGTACAAAATAAAACGAAATACTATACACGACGATAAAGATTTTTTATCGTCTTGTATAATAAATAACTATTATTTTTATTCTCACATATCCTAAAATTTTAAAGCCACCCACTATTACAAAGAGAATAAAATAATATGTTCTTACAGCAGAACTTAAAATCTCAAACACCACTTACCTAAATTTAATACTTTAATGCATCTAAAAAAGTAATCCTCGACCACTAAATTTTGCTCGGGCCTTTTGGAACAATGGTATTTAATATAGGGAAAGCATCCAGTTCTTAAAATATGATAATTAGAATTTCCAACTCTCCAGTTAAAATGTGATTTTCCCCATTGATCATCATTAACACTGCTATACTGAAACATAAAATTGTTCTTTTTATCCACCCTGTTTATTTACTGCACTGATTTCCCGCGTCAAAGTAATCACACTAGCCAACAAGCATTTTGTGACTGAGAAGTAAACAGTTATTTTTTGTTCAATTCTATGTGCTAAACTCAAAAATGATAAAGAAATGTCCATAGCACGTCAGATTTTAAAGTTAGGCATTTTAAGATTTCATATGTAAACACTTAAAATTCATTTTCTCCATTCTCATTTAAATTTTTTTCACCCAAATTTGGGTACTGTTCACTAACACTCGTCACTAAGAGCAAGGGAAAAGGTTCCACCAGGATATATTGACGATGGAAAAAAGGTAGCAAAGGAGATGGGATCCAGCTATGATGGTTCCTGATAAGGGAAGTTAAAACACCCTACAAAAGAAAGTCAGCTTTTGCAAAAAACTCATCTCATCAGATTTGTTCTTGTTTAGAGAATAAATTAATTTCTTTCGTCGTCTGTTTAATTAATTTCTATTTGAAATAAACAATTTTTACGATAAAATTTGAGAAAACTATTTTCCTGTAATTTAAAATCTGTACGTGATGGAGAATTTTTCTTATCAAATTCGTAATTAGGAATGTTAATGTACCCGATACACGTGTCAATAGATCAATCATATTAAAAAAAATTGTTGGGTATAAAGTGTGTACAGTGCCAAAAGTGGTGCAAACACGAAAATAGCAAATAATAACAGAAAGAAGCTTTGCAAAAGTCGTACGTAGAAAGCTTGTGTTGCTTGCTTGTACCATAATAAATACCTATTGACAAAGCTAAAAGTTTTTTCTCGTGCAAACTTTTTGCCGAAACATCATGAGATTTAAATAACATTAAAATCAGCATTGAATAATCGTTAAAATTTCCAAAAAAGCAATTGTTCCTTCAGTACTGAACAAATAAACAAGTAGTAGAGTGATATCGATAGTGGTAGTTAGTGTTAGTTTAAAAATAATGCCACTACCTTCACAAAATAAGAAGTCCACGGTGGTTCTTCACATTGTTTTAAATAACAACTTAACACTTCCGAGGACGTAGGTTTTGGTATATGTTTAGATATTTGGCGAAGTGACCGTAAGTTTGAACTTGTGTGCATAGCCTGCAAAAACAAGTAAAAAGTATTAGATTATTAGTTTTTAATTGTCAACAATAGAAAAAAAATTAAATGGGAAGCAAAACTTTTTTTATAACCCAAATAAGTTTGTTGAAACCCTCAAAAGAAAGTCAAAAACATGGCAAACTAAAGAGTGAATGCTAATGAAAGAAGAACCTGAGAGTGTTTTTATTGCTTTTATTGTCACTACGATGATATTAAAAATAATAAACATTAACTGTTGGGAACTTTTATTGTTTCAGTGAGATACAATTATTTCAGTTTAACAGCATGTAAAGCATAATTAATGGAGTCGTCGGAACACCAGCGCCATTCATTTGTTAAAACATTATAAAAAATGCCGTGTGTAAGTATCGTTTTACAGCCAACTACAAATAAAAAAGTAATATACTCAGTTGTAAACAAGTTAACGACTTACGTTCTTCTAATATCCTTTCTAACTTATGAGGCTCTATAAACTTATCGTGTTGATGCGTTCCTTCAGGTAAAAGTTTGAAAAAGCTCTCTGCTATAACCACTCCAAAAACATTTGCAATTAAGGTTTTATTAATGGTTGTGATAAAAATGGATCCTCCAGGTTTCAAACACTCGACACAAAGTTTTAAAAATTCCTCTTTCTTGGTAACGTGTTCAAGAATTTCTGACGCAACGATAGCGTCATGATTTTCTATATTCTCAACAGCATATTCCTCAATAGATGAACAAATATATTTTAAGATTAAGTTTTCATTTTTTGAATGAAACCTTGCTTTTTCGATTAAATCTGAATTGGCATCGAGCCCGGTTACATTAGCGCCTATTCGAGCTAAAGGTTCTGATAATATTCCACCTACAAACGACCAATTTTTATAATAAAACATTTTGTAAAATAACACTGGCATCTTACCACCACAACCAACATCTAGAATTGAGAGTCCCCTTACAGGTAATGACATGTTTATTTGTTCCTGTGACATAACTGAAGAATTTATTATACCATCTCGAATAAATGGTATTCGTAATTTGTTCATAGCATGAAGAGCTTTTAAATATCCCGATTCGTTCCACCATTCTGCAGTAAACTGCTTAAAATGCTGTAATTCAGTGGCATCTACAGTACTACTATTATGTAAATTTCGCAAAAATATTCTACAATAAATGTTGTTTTTAGAGAAGTTTGCAGTAAGTCGCTGAATACATACCTTGGATATGATAATACATTTCTCCACATTTCAAAATGTTTAATTCTGAAAAATCAATTTTAAATAATTAAGAAATACTCAGCAAGGAAACTGTAGTCAAGAATATGTGGTTGCTGTGTGTACGCAGTGCCATTATTTTATAATTGTATCCCTTTCTAAGGATCAAAAACTATCGGCAGAGCAAATCAGAGAGACGTTCAAGAACAGTACATACAGGTGTTCCAATGAAAACGAGCCACCCCGAATATATCAGAAATTAAAAATACTTTGCAAAAACGCCGAAACAGGTAGATTTTGTTTCTGAGGGGGACATTTTTTGACGTAATTTTTAACCATTTAACCCCCACGCACCCCAACATTAAAAATTTAAATAGCACTACAGTTGGAGACAAAATACTTTGGTCGTCACTTTTTTGACACTTTAATGTAATTCAAGCTTTAACTTTAAAATGAATGACCATGTCAAATTAATGACAGCTATTTTATTTTCCTATCATACAACTTGTCAACTATGATTGACAGTAGCTAAAAATAAGGTTAGCAGTCCTAAAGCATGCTTTACAAGTTAATGCCACTCAAGTGACATTGACGACCAAAGTATTTTGTCTCCAACTGTACCCCACTTGTGGCACATCAAATGAAAGCTATTTTAACAAGCTTTTTAAAACTTTTTACTAAAACTGAGTTAGACCATCCATTCATGAGATACAGGGTGTTCTAATAAAAATGAACCAGAAAAAAAAACGAAACAGGTTAATTTTGTTTTTTAAAAAAGACAATTTTTGACACAATTTTAAAAGCACCCCCGTTAACTTTTCCCACCTCAATTTCGAAATTTCAAATGACACCGACTCACTTGCGACAGATCAAATAAAAGTGTTTTTAAAATGTTCTTTAAGCCTTTTTTCTACAGTTGAATGGGATTATCTATTCATAAGATATTCGCAAAAAATAATGTTTCTAATTACTAATTACTTCTAGTAAAAACTATTAAAATAAATTACAAGAAACATACTAATATTGTTATTGAAGCTGTAACAGTAGTTATTTATTATACAAGACGATAAAATTGAATTTTATCTTTGACAGCAATTTAGCATCGAGGCGTCAGCCGAGACGCTAATATGCTCGAAAAGATAATGAAAATTTTATCGTCGTGTACAATATAAAATTTTATTCAATCCTCACTAATTTTGTAGTCAATTTGGTCGATATTTATAAATGTCAAAGTAAAATTCAACAATGAAATCTAATGTCAAAGATCGTTAGCAACTTTATACTATTGATATAATCGGACTAAAGAAGAGGGGGTAAACACGTTTCTTTAATCTTAAAGATTAGTTTTTTGCCGATATTTTATGAATGTATAAAAATCATCTCATTTTGGAAAAAAGCTTTTAAAGAGCATTTTAGAGGTTAAAAGGTTAGTGAAGGTGCTTTTAAAATTGCGTCAAAAAATGTCCCTTTCAAAAACAAAATTATCCTTTTCTATTAGAACAGCCCTGTATCTCATGAATGGATGGTCTGATTCAATTTTGGTAAAAAGTTTTGAAAACGTTGCTAAAATAGCTTTTATTTGCTGTGCCACAAGAAGGGTAGTGCCATTAAAATTTTTAAAGTTGGGGTGCGTAGAAGTTAAGGGGTTACTGAGGGTGCTTTAAAAATTACGTCAAAAAATGTCCCCCTCGGAAACAAAATCGACCTGTTTCGGCGTTTTTGCAAAGTCTTTTTAGTTTCTGAGATATTCGGGGTGGCTCGTTTTCATTGAAACACCACAAATAAAAGAAGCAACATTAGACATAATAGAAAAACCCATAGAAGAAACCCTCAAAGTATTTCTCCAGAATTGCAAATTCATTGTTTGAAATGTCATCAATCATCATCCATTCTGAAGAATACAATGTATACCATTATGCAAAACTTACACGCTATATTGTCTAAAGACTATGGACGACTAGATAGAAAAAAACTATCTATCTGAATAAGTGGATTAATGACAGACCACTGGCCGCCTATGTGACCACCTACACTTAAAAAAAATAAACCAGTGCCCTTTGCGAAAATACAATACTTATGTTCAACACATCCTCTTTTCACACTTTTAAATCATCATAAGACCGTTCCTCATTGCCTTTCCATAGTTTTAGTACGCTTTGAAATAAATTTCTTATCAATGTGTCGTGTGTCAAACACACAACCAAACCTATCACCTTGTAATTCATATTAAAAAAAGGTGTAAATAAAAAAACGAAAGTTGTTGATAGGCTTAAAAAAATCTGAATTCATTTTTATGCTTAGCTGAAAGTCTTCTATCACTATTTGAGAGTTGATCCGACAGTTTTAAATCACTCTCTATATCAATTACACAACAATAATTTTTCGGAAATATCGGCTCATTCATGATAATTTAGATTTAGTTGTAAAATTTCGTTTAAATTGATACCTTGTAAAGTTGAGTGTGTTTATTAGGTACTATGCATTATTTAAAAAAATTAATCATTATCAGATGTGCAAAGAAAAGTTATTGCTATAACTGAACAAAGCATGTCGCAAAGAAAAATAGTATTTACAGTTGGCGTTACACAGGGTGTAGTTTCAAAAACCTCTGCAAGGTACAACTTGGAATACGCAAAAGACTTCGTGTTTCGGCTTAAAATTGAGCCAAATCGATTTTTTATAAAAGACTTTAATTTTGAATTAATTATGTATTAAATTTGAACAAAAATGGTTTAAAAATAGCTAGAAAGACTTCGTGTTTGCAGTTTGTACAGCAGAGTTCAAAAGTTGTCGAAGCAACACAAAATTGATCCCTTAAATTGGTGTATTAAGGCTTAAGGTCGCAAGAATGATTATTTTTGAAGTCTTCATTTTTATTAAATTTTATAAATTAAACTACCTTACTTTATTCTTTTCAACTGTTTTCTAAGTACATAAATCATTTGAAATAAACCTAATTTGACTTTACAAAATATATTTTTTGAATAATCTAAATGTAACGACCACTTCGGTTAAGTTCGGAAAATCTTCGTGATGAGCTCGGAACACAACATTAACAATTTATTAAAAAAAAAGAACTGGCTAAAAAACAATTTTATTTAATTAAAGGTCATTTTTAGAAAACTAAAAGGAATTTCGAAAAATGTTATTCTTGATAAATGGTCACATTTTAATTGTACTTTACGCTACACTAATTATTTTTTTCGTAAAGTGGTTGGTTTACGAAAAAACGCTTGTGTAGTGTAAGGATAAGAAATTATTGCTTAATGCTGACTGTGTAATTAGTTTTTAGACCAACCGAGTTTGTAAAATAATTAGTAAATGGTCGTCATCGAAGACAGTAGCAATCATGTAGTGACAACTAAAGTAAACTCAATAAAGCCCCAAAAACCGAACCTCTTCTTGACGAACATTATACTTGGTTCCATACTTTTTATTCACCTGGTATGAAGATATGTTGTAAGTTCGGTTGTGTGTATACCATAAAGATAGAAGATATGAGACTTAACAATTTTCGTATTTTCTTTACTTTGTAATGTCATAGACAACACCGATTAGAAAATTATCTGAAAGTTGGTACAATTTACTAAATAATATTTAAGAAACGTCAGACATAACCATATTTTATAAAACAGTAGAAAAGTAGATGACTATAACCATTTTATTTAGTTTATTTTAAAACGTTTGTGTGTTAAAACAAAATTTTGTATTATTAATATTATATTACATCTTATACGTGTAGTTAGCGATTTCAAGCATTCGAGACAATTTCTCCAGTCATTTACAAATATTAAAAAGCTATACATAGGTGCGCCAGAACTCGCGCCTTAGAGAAAATTTTCAAGGTAAGATACCAGGAACATAAAAAAATGTTTAAAAAATTCTATCTGTCAAAAAATTTTGACATATGACATTTTTTTATGTCTATTTAATAATGATGATAATCTTGTATACTTTATATGTTTTCTCCGGGGCGCGAGTTCTGGCGCAGCCTGTATAAAGATGTGAAGAAATGAACATCAATTCTACAGAGTGGCTCCATTTTAACGAGTGATTTAGAAATAGTTAGAACACGTAAACATAATGTGGGTTTATCATATGAACGATTGTTCAAAAACGCTTCATTACTAGAGATAAATAGCGCTAAAATTTAAAATTTTGTTCTTTTCTAACATCTCTTAAACGAAGAAGGCTACGAGCTCTAAATGTTGCAAGCACACTAGATGAGTGGAGACTATCATTTTGTACCGCACAATCAGTACATCGGATGACATGTTTTGGGGGATCACACACCTTGCTGCCTACCCAGAGGTCTTTGTGTAACGCCACTAATTAAATCTGAAGTTTTTCTTGAAACAAAATAAAAATCATCAGTGTGTTTTAAAAAATGGGAACAATTGGAGAACAAGCACACATTATTTTTAGGGGTTCTAACTATTCCTGAATTTTTGCCTATTAAAACAAAACCATGCTAAACAGATCCAATCATAATATGTAAAATAATGGAAGAAAAGAAACAATTGCTGCCTATCGAAAATTGGTAAAACTGTATGTTACGAGAAAAAATATAATATGTTCAAGTTACTACATTATATCACTATGTCATGGTAACAAAAATAAAAATGTCCTATTCGCTTATTTTTCCACTAAAAAGAAGAACTATAAAGACAAATGAAAATTTAAGAAATTTGTAATCTTTATAACAAAGTTCGCCTAAAAAAATTGACAAAACACGTTATTTCATACTCTGCTTTCTGGCCGGTCATTAAAATTAAACTCGGCGGAAAAAGATTCACTTTTTTTAACCTTGCTACACAAATAACTATAATATTTGATTTTTTTTTTCTCTAAAAATCAGTAACTGGTGAGCTCCTGACCACTTTAACAATTTTTTAATACCACAATTTCTGTTATTTTGTTTTTTTTTTCCGTTTAGAGACAGCAAGTATAGTTTTTATTGTCTGAAGGTTTTGAATTAAAAAAAATATTAATTCTCGTTTTTATCAACTGATTAGAAAAAAGTTTCCACTGTTCCAGACTCTCCTTAAACGATGTTATAATCTATTTGAAAGAAATTTCCAAGAAAAAAACAATTAAGGTCCACTTTTTGTAGAATGGAAAATTTCAACAGTATCTGCGGGGTTATAACCTGTATCAGCAACATTCTAAAACCTATTAGATTCCACAACAAAATGCCATTAAAAAATAATAAGCGCCACAAGAGAAAAACTAATATTATGTTCATGTAGGAGAAACTTTATTAACCATTTTTTTTTTATTTCTGAAACAAACATTCTAATAAAAACAAATGCACTAATACGGGCTATTAGAGGTGACGTCACAGACGCGACTGTACTGAAGCTAAACATACAGTGTTGCCAGTTGTGATACTAGAGTACCAAATTGATACTAGATTTTTTTTACTAGATATTTATATTTACTTGTAAACAAATAATAATTTATATTCTCAGCCAAATACACATTATGTGAATGTTAATATTTTTTATTTTGTTTTGTTTTGGTACGACCTATCCACTCCTGTCGTTTGCAACATTCTGGCAATGCTGTACACATATTTTTGACATACACAGAAAGTGAGGTTAGAACTGATTAAATTACAGAAATGTTGACTATAATTGTTAAAACCATTACGACACACATTTTTCATAGCAACTATTTCCTTAGAAACAATCTTCCTACACGTCCAGGATTCAAGAAATAAACTTTTATTTGTTTAGCTTCAAAGGTACAGTCACGTACCTTGCTGACGTCACACTAATAGCGCGTATAGTCACAATAGTTTGAACTCCACTGTTCTCCAAAACTACAAAAACTGACCCTCATTATTTTCCTCTGGACCCTTCATTTTTCAGTCTTCTTTGCATTTAAAAATACGAATAAAAATAAATAAACCTTACTATGCAATGACAAAATCTTCAGCTAGGGCAGATCACAATAACCACGAAGAAGCAAACTGCTAGCACAAAATCTAAATTTGGTTGGTGTGGGAACTCAATCACCGATTCTAAACAAGGTAAAAATAGTTAGAAAATAGGGTCTAATCTTACCACGATTGCCTTTTTATATCCACACTAGTCTCAAAAGTAAGTTGTCACTAAAATAAATAATAACAGAAAGTTATTCTTGTAAGGCAAAACACAGCAAAATACAGTGACACAGAACTGTCAAAACACCTGATAAAGTTAGGTTAGGAACTCAGCAGTCAGCAGGATTGTGCCTCGTTTGCTTTCTCGCGATTCGACGGTATAACACGTGGTTTACGTCTGACGTCACTAAGAGAAAAATTATTCAAAATGAATCCTAAATTTCCAAATAATTTAATAAAAGAGGATTCATGACAAATTAACAAATTAAATAAAAATTAAAAGATTATAAAAATTCAAATTATAAGAGTGCAAAATATGATTATCCAATTAAACACTCTTTCATACCAAGATTTATAAAGTTAGAAGGTTGCCTCGTAACTTTACACCAAACATATTATTAAATTAAAAAACTAGAATTCCATAAAATAAATACTGATAAAATATTTTTTATTAAGGGTAAAATAAATAAAATATGTACAGGGTGCTGCATTTTGGATATCCGGATAGGGAATCTCCGAAACTAAGATGTATAGCCAAAAACGAGTGATACATTCTGGGGCTGAATTTGGAGAAAATAATATTGGTTAAGACCGCATCCCGCTATCGTCTTTTGTTTTCGACTTACAGACAAAAGTTGACATTTTGGCGAAATCTAAAAAAATCATATCTTCGTTATTATAGAAGATACGGATTTGAAATAAAGACATTATGCAGGCACTTTTTTACGAGGAATTTAATAATGTAGTTAACTATTTTTTTCAGTTATTTGTTTAGCCGTAATAAGATAAACTTGTATTTTTTTTAAATAGAAATGGCAATTTTGAAAAGCTTATTTTTCTCTGATCTAAAAAATATATATTTGTAACAGAATATTTTTTTATAATTATACTTAAAAAATTAAATACATATTTTGTTTAATAATAGTTGGCCATGGAAAAACTATTTCACTCCAAATGTGTAAATAATAATCAATAAGAGTTTTGTAAACTGTAAAAATAGATAAAATTATAAAAATTTAAAAAATACGATACATTAGAAGTATTGAACAAATATGCGAGCGCCTTAGAACAAAATTATTACATATTTTTAAAAAATTCAAAAATAAGAAAAACAAATGTGTCAACAGTCAACACAATTAGAAAAAACATTTTTGGAGGTAGGATAACGTTCCACATAGACGGAATTTGGGTATTTGAATAGTCATATCGTCATTTTTGTGTCATGTAAAATATATTTTATTGAAGAATTAAAGCAGCTTTTTTTTTACAACACTCTATGTATCACTAGAAGTTACAATGGTAATGTTAGCTTGTTTAAAAACAAAGAAATATTATTAATTGCAAATAAATTGATTTACGATTTATTTTGCATTTTTTAAATTTTTTATTACTTAGAAAACTCCTTCATTAGTGACAATGGTTGAATAATATATATAGTTTAAATCCTTTTAGTTAAAGATGCAACATTTTTTCATGGCCAACTGCGAACAAAAATCAAAGATAATTTTTTGCTATCTATTATAATAATTTGTTACAAATATATATTTTTTAAATAAGAAAAAAACAAACTTTTTAAATATGACATAGCCATCTATGATTCCCATTTAAAAAAATACAAGTTTATTTTATTACGGCTAAACAAACAACTGAAAAAAATTGTTAACTACATTATTAAATTCTACGTAAAAAAGTGCCTGTATAATGTCTTTATTTCAAATCTGTGTCTTCTATAATAACGAAGATATGAATTTTTTTAGATTTCGCTGAAATGTCAATTTTTGTCTATAAGTCGAAAACAAAAGACGATAGCGGGATGCGGTCTTAACCAATATTATTTTCTTAAAAAATGAGCCCCAGAATGTATCACTCGTTTTTGACTAAACCTCTTAGTTTTGGATATTCCCTATTCGGACATCCAAATTGCAGCACCCTGTACATTGATAGAAAAATATAAATCTAATAAAACTTGCAATATTTTAATTTATAATTTTATTCATTTTTTCTTTCATTAGTTTATCAGAAATTTTCTCGATAACTATTTATGGCAGATCACTGATCTTTTTTGTATATGATAGAAAATTATATATTTTTTTCCAATGGTATGTCCCAAACATAAGCGGTTATCACCAAGAAGTCCGGAGTTATTATAAATAGACTGCTCCGGGTGCCAAAATTTCGACAAAATCGCTAAAAACTCGAAAATTTGCAAGAGTAAACAAAAGTAAAAAAGGGGAAGAAAGAGTTAGATAGAGATCAATATGTGTTGGCAAAATATGAGGCCACAAGTTTACGTAAAATGTTTAAGTTTGATCGCTTGTATTAAACATTACAAGCTGTTTCAGGGCCGCCTCAAGAGGTTTCAACGCCTGCGTGCAAATTTGAATTTGGCGCCCCCCTTTTTTGTTAATAAAGTGTAGGTATTCCTTTGTACCTATAAAAAATATTTATATTCACACAATTTTGTTAAAAATAAAAACTAAAGAGCATTTTTATTAAATTTGGTCATCAAGTATCAATAAATTAAAGTAATTAATTAAAAAGTATTTAAAATGTTTTCTAAAGTTGTAAATAATCAAATAAGTTTTACATTGAAAATTTTACTTAAAAAAACTGTACTTTTCTAAATTTCATACTACCTACAGTCCCGTTTAATCGAATTTGATAAGACCGAGAAGAGGACCAACGCAACGCTACGAAATAAAAATTCGGTTCAAGCGGAACAAAGAATTGATATATTTTTAAGCTTTTATTTGAATGATATTTTGTAAAATGAAATATTAGATTCTGAAGAAAATTTACACTTTTAAAACTCCGCATCATTTATTTTGTTTAAAATATCAACTCAAATTGTGATGAAAACAACTAATACGAATTTGTAACAAAGGCATGTAAAAAAGTTTTATGGGTAGTAGCAATATTCCAAGAATCATTTTCAAATATTTTCATCAGAGTATAAAAAAGTCTACAGATATGATACCGCAATTGTTTAAGTGCATCTACTCTGCTAGAAAAAAATTAAATTTCTTGAAATAAATTGAAAAAGTGATATAGTTTCATAGGAAACTTTAGTACTTGTCACTTGCCTCCGCCCCCCTAATTAGAGTACACAATTTGTAATATCAACAATAGATTCATTCAAATTACTTCAGATGTAATCTTTTGTAAATTTATGTCCACCGGTTACTGAGATAATGGAAAAAAAGATCTTTTAGCTTTTTTTATCTCGCTTAGGAATCATTTCTGAACACAGGTCTTTAGATTTTTTTTTTCTTCTTTTGACGTAGAAGACCTGCCCCCACAATCTTTCAATATTTTTTTTTGGACATCCGGACCTCCAGTATGATGACTTTCTCCGCATATTGTGTTGTAGTTTGTTTTAAATTATGTTTATGTATTTTAATTTTTTTGCATCTTTTGTTGTTTGAGTAATTCAGATTTTTTTATTTATGATTTTATTAAAATTTGTTGCTCGTCTGGCGCCCCCTGGACCTGGCGCCCGCGTGCGCCGCACGCCCTGCACCCCCGCTTGTGGCGGCCCTGAGCTGTTTAAATCTTTACTAAACAAATTGATATAGTCTATCATAAATTTTAGAAACAAGACCATGTGAGCTAAATCCGGTACTGAAGCAATAGCTGTCGAAGTATCAAATGTACTTATGACTGGGGCAATTTAATCTTATACGAATAGAGTTACTTCAACTGCTTTTTCTTTTGACATCTTTTTTACAATGTACTTTAATTTTTGGAACTATTAATTGTAATGTTAAGATTTGCTTATGCTGTACAACTTGCTAATTTTGAGTTACTTGGAAATAAAAATCTGTGTAAATTGAACTTATTTTTTATTATCGGATTATTCTATAATTCCTCACAATTAAATTACTTAAATTTTCTTCTCAGAATTTTACGATGTGTATTTTTAATGTGGCAACAAAAAGCAAGTCTCGCTCTTTATCAATTTTGTCTTTCATGCAACTATTTTAAAAATTATAATTTTTGAAATAATTTTTAATAATAATATAAATTTAATAATTTTTTTATAAAACAATTAAAAGATGAGACAGGTTTGACATGGTGCAATTAATGTGATGGTGTTATTGACCTAACTTATCTTTATATCTTTTACAGTATGTAATATAAAATTTAAAAAAGTATCTCAAATAACGTCTAAGGAATTCTTCCATATATACTTTATTTTCCATTTCACTAATTGTCATTTACGAAATGCGCCATGAAACTGGTGTTGTTGTTGCTTTTAATTTTCACGTTAAAACCCATCAAGTGTTCAAAATGTGCAAAATCGGGGATAATATGTGTTGATTCTAATAATTTTCAAGAATGTCAAAATGTTGCTGGACAGTTTACGTTGATTGGAAGTCCAATGTCGTGTGGTAATAGCAAATTTTGTGATGATTCTAGCGGTTCAATTGAGTAAGTTTTTATCACATTGTGACATAAATTAAAATAACAACATTTTTTAATAACAGGTGCGTTTCTACCCCTCCAATTACTTCACCAGCACCAAGTAAAAAATATAAATTATGTAATAAAAGAATTCAGTTTCACCAAATTATTTGTAGTTACTATACCAACATGTACTTCTGCAAGTAAATATCCAGCAGAATCCTGCTACCAATATTATGAATGTATTTTTGTCATGTCGTGGTATTATGCACCAGAATTGAAAGATTGTCCAAATGGACAAGCATACGATGTATATTTGAAAAATTGTGCTCCGGTAGCAACAGTTGATTGTTTGACAAGAACAAAAACTACGGAAATTCCTCCAACGACTGCAGTAATTCCTGTAACGACTTTATTTCCAAAAATTTTGTGTACAAAAGTCGGATTAGTTTGTATTGACTCACAGCGCTTTCAAGAATGTGGTACTATTGAAAGTCAGTTGGTACTGGTTGGGAGTGCGATGTCTTGTCCTATTGGTCAAATTTGTGATGACTCTAGCGGTTCAGCTCAGTAAGTTTTTTATTATTTTTGCTTAATATATTAATTTTTCCTATCAATAATAATAGATGCATTACTAAACCACCAGTGACTTCAATAGCGCCAAGTAAGTAAAAGGTACCTTAAATCTTGTAAAAGTATATA